GTAATTTTAATTTACTGTAGAGATAATAATAATAGAAATTGTTTTTTTAAGTTACACTTTTAATCAAATAAATTTATGTTATAGTCCGGTTCCTTGTACCACGGTGATAGTCCAAGGTAGAACCAATAAAGAAGAACGCGAACACAGGTATGGAATAACACAGATATATTATAAACAGGAATATATACAGAGAAGTAGAAGTGTTAGTATGAACAATTAGGTTTAGTAGAGAGAACAATGTAGTCTCGACCAGTATCACTATTCCAATGTCTTGCAGTAATTGTCTGAACGCGACTCTGTTTCGGACTGCCTCTGATTCGACTCTTGACTCGACTTGAACTAGTGACGATATTCAGTCACCCCCCCCCACTGTGGCAGCATGTGGCACAAGGCCGGTTATTCAATGTGGGATATCCGAGCCCGTGGGCTCGGCCCAAAAATATGCCCATTGAACCCGTATAAACGGGTTCAGGACCGGTTTACTTCCCTGAAAGAGACTCCGCCCTTCGGCGTAGCCTCGTTCGGGTTCCTCCCCGCCCGAAGGCAGAGCGTTCAACCGATCTGTCGTTCAATGAGGCGTAGTATTTATTACGTATGGAATAGTCCATTATTATTATTATGGGTAAGACCCCATAAATTATAATTCCGATAAAAAACAATGTTTACAACTATATGCCCAATGCTTGATAACCGATAATGATAAGACAGTATCCCTTTTATCGAGACTACAACAACTAAGTCACAGTTTGCTTATAATAAATGTCAATAAATGTTAACGTCCATGTCTCTTCAAAGGTTCTGTTATTTTATTATCTGTAAATTTACATGAATCTTTAGGAAAGATGGATTGGAATCCCATAACCTTCTTCTTGGATTTGAATTCAAAGTATAGTTCTACTTCTAGACTGACCGACATCCATTGTTAGTGATTTCAATCTATTCTGATATTTAATCCTCAACCGGAGTCAATCCTACTTCGTACAATATATGCATGTATGCGATGGATAATCTATTGATAGTCATAAAATATACGTGTTTCTAATTGCGATTATCAAATTTAGTTCTCAAAATATAATTGTTTCAAACAGAAGCTAGAAGAAAAGTTAGGTTTAACTCAATCAATTATCCAGTTCAACCTGAACTACAATTTTATGCTTGATATATAGAAAGAAAACTTGCAATTGCAAACACTATGACATTATTAAGAAGTCATATAAAAGATATCATTTCATTATAGTGAATCTCACGCATCTCACTAAATAATGAAGACCATGTGCTAGACTAAATTAAAGCGATTTCCTGTCAGTTAATGATTAATGAGCTCTTTTGGTAGGTTCTTTCGTGGCCCATATATGTGTCAATGTGTCAAATTAAAACATATCTAAGATAAAACCACTAAAATAACACTCATCAAGAAAAAAACAAAATATTAGCATCATCTTCGATCTCTAAGGGAGCGGTTGTTTATTTTTAAATATATCGATTTTAATCCTATTGGGATTTCGTATAGAACGCGCGTCGATTATAAAGAGAAGATGCTCGGTTTTGGAATTATCTGATTATTTTTGCTCGTCTTCGCTATGGAATTGTAAAAGGTTAGGTTGGAAAAAAATACTTTCAATTACTTTGCGGTTCAGAATTTAACAAAAGTAGAAATGCTGTAAAAACAATTTCAGCGTTTGCAACAAGCAACGCCATTTTCACATTGTTCCTCTCCGATTTCCCTAGCCTTTGATTTCAACAATTTGATTTGTATTTTTTTTCATGTAACACGTTCATCGATCCGCCATGATTTGCGTGCCCAGTTTATTAATTGTCTCTAACTTTATCGTTATTGTTATGAATGTCTTTGTGCAAAAGGAAAGAAAATCAACAGGAAAGAAAATCCGGAGAAGAAAAGGGGAAGCCTCTTAAAGCAGCATGATGGAGATCTTGTCTAATGGATTTTCTGGCTATGTTTCTTTTCCATTAAGATGATTAGCGCTCAATTGACTGAATAATTGAGGTCAGAACAACATCAAGAGAAAATATTAAATGCCAAATGTATATTTTTGGTGGAATAAGCGAATGAATTCAAAATGGAAATCTAGATATTTTTTCTTTAGACAGAAATTTCCATCCACTTTATTCCTATCGAATTAACGCCCTGTTTTTTTTTTTAGTTTCCTGTCCGACCAAACGGATAAAATTAATCTACAAAAATTAAAACAAAATATTTGGAAGAAGGTGTGTTTTAAATGTTTTCATATAATATAACTGTTTAAATAATAGATGTACAATATTTCCACTTAAAGCGCTCTTTGACAAGAGATATTTTATCTTTTACGTCTTTAAATTTTGCAGTAAGATGTTTAATGGCGAATTGTCGAAGATAATTTCTATCCCCAAATCAAAAATACATAAATTTAAATACTAAAAAAGTTTTTTGCCTGTCAATCTCTCACTGTTAAGTGATTTAATACATTTTGAAATGGTTACTCTTTTCTCTGTTTTCTTGATTTTCCCTATTTTTAACTTCTTATCGATCAGAGTTTCTATTTGTTCACTTGGTTATAAAAGAGAGCTGCCTGCTATTGGCCATAAATAGTCGACCTCCGGCCTTTCAAAAAAGCAGAGCACGGCAAGTAATTAGAATTTTATAGGAGTATTAAAATTGCAATTTTCTTTTCTTAATTAATGCAGTTTTAATTGATTTAATTTTAACTGCTGTAAATAACATTGTTTCGCTTTCTTCTACTTTTTTTTTTCAAATGGCACAATATTATTATTCATTTACTCGTTTTATGACGGCTCAGCGCGTGTTGGCAAGGTATTAAAAATATATTTATTTTAACTGACGCCGCTCATGTTTGTATGTGTCCATACGTATACGAAAACTAATTCATTTGTAGTCTTGATAAAATGTGACCAAAGCTGTCATAGGGTCAAGATCTCACTTCATAACCGTTGAAAATTGACTAATGCATGGAATAATAATACAACACAAAATGTACTTAGAACAAAATGTATTGAAACAAGAAAGTGTACACAATATTTACATATAGTCTTTTGTATATTCTTGGGAAGACCGTTCCTGGAGAATGTGTTGACTTAGTCGCAGTAGGCAGAGCCTCTGGATTGAATCTCTTGATTCCTCCCCTCGTCTTCCCCGTACCAACCATATTTATATGGTCGGAACTCCACTGTGCAAATTAGGTGGATCCTACCACAACAATAACATTATTTGAAGGTGTGATGAAACAGTGTATTTCTGTTATCATAAGTTAAATATTACATCATATATATATATATATATATATATATATATATATATGACAAAATATAGTCTTAAGGTGTGCTATATTTATGAGATAAAGTGCTCAGTACCAGAAATAGAGCGTGTGTAAATATAAAAGTGAACATAGAAGTCAAAACTTAGAGGCGACAGTCTGTTTCATGCTATATGCAATCGTCAGGTGGCCTGACGATTGCATATAACATGAAACAGACTGTCGCCTCTAAGTTTTGTATTCTATTTTCACTTTTATATATATATATATATATATATATATATATATATATATATATATATATAAACATAATAATTTTCTTTTTTTAAAAATATGATTCCATCGTCACACAGAAATTTCTGTGTTTCAAAACTGTAATTAGATTAAACTGTATTTTAAGTTAAAATACAGAGTTTTGTTCCATTTTCAAGATACTAGGAATAAATTTCTAAGAAATTTACTTAATTTCTAAGCGCAGACAATCTTAATATTTTGAGTTGTTATGGTTAAGGAAGATTGAATCAGTTTTTATTAGAGGTGGTTGGGATTTAATTTCTCTAGACAGCTTATGTATCCAATATGTGTTACATACAAAGCCAGATTAAGTTTAGTTGGGGGTGGGGGTGCCTGCTCACAAACATAGACATCAGTTATTCAGTGTGTCGTCTGGGTTTTCAATAACAAAAAAATGACATTTTTATTTATCCGCTAATTCATATTTTTATACCCAAAGATTTTCGAGAAGGATCATCTCCATACGAGTAAGTCATATTTTTAATATTTAAATTTTATTCCTACAGATTTAAAGTACCATTCCTCCTTCAAATAACTAATATACTATACGTTATTTTTATAAATAAATATATTAGAATTTAATTTCGTATTTAAAAAAAAATTATAAATGGTCAAGTATAAACACACATATATATATATATACACACACACACACACACACATATATATATATATATATATATATATATATATATATATATATATATATATATATACATATATATGTATGTGTGTGTGTGTGTGTGTGTGTGTGTGTGAGCGCGCATATATTGTGTTTGCGTACATTTCTTATATAGGGTAACTGATCTGATCTTTGCTTACTTTCGACAGTCTTCTGTGGGAGAGCGTTCAAAAAGCAACACAGGCCTAACGGTGGTAGCTCTACAGTGGGTGGGAGTTACGCAACTCCAAACCCAATCGTATGAAGCCTTTTCGTTACTAAGGCTATTGAATTCACAGGCCAGAAAGCACAAATTTGCAATAAAAAAAAAACAGAGATATCTGATCAAACACATGCATCCCCTACATATAAGCGTTTAAATTAAAAATGAATTTACATTTTGCAATAGACAATGTCCGTCAATTATTTTAAGACACTTTAATGTTTATACGTTCTTTTTTATAATAGAAATATTTCAGTAAATGCTCTGTTTATAATAAACAGTATTAACGACATTTACCGGCCTGAATGTCCGAGAAATTGTCATAGAAAAATAGCGTCCTCCGACAGGAATCGAACCTGTATCCTATACGGATATGTATGTGTGTATGTTTATGTGTATGTGTATGTGTGTGTAGTGTCTTTATAGATTATGTTATAATTAATATCATCATCATTAAAACAGCAATCATCAATGAAACTCTATATGGACGGAAAATAAAATATCAGCATCTTAAAAGACAATGTCGATTTTTGCCGGGGTGCGGCGTATACCTATGGAATTTATTCTTCTTCCCTTCACTCGACCAGGGAAGGAGGGAAGGTTGAGATCCTAATTTGCTTTGGTCAAAATTAGCAAAAGAAAACAATCAAGTATTTTAAGTATTTTATCTATCTACCGCAGTTTTTCATTATCTATCTACCGCAGTTTTTCGTTATCTATCTATCCACCGCAGTCTTTTCATTATCTATCTATCCCAGTCTTTTCTTTATCTATCTATCTATCTATCTATCTATCTATCTATCTATCTATCTGTCGCAGTCTTTTCATTATCTATCAATCTATCACAGTTTTTAATTATTTATCTATACACCGCAGTCTTTTCTTTATATATCAAGCTCAGTCTTTTATCTATCTATCTATCTATCTATCTATCTATCTATCGCAGTCTTTTCTTTATCTATCTATCTATCTATCTATCTACTATTTGGTTTTTATATCAGAGTTTGCCTTCTTCTAGTTGAAGTACGTTCACCACGACTGAGTGTGTTTATCTCACGAACATAAAGACATACGTTTTGAGGATTGATATTTGAGTGGTTTTCCGTTTCCTTCTCCACGGAGGTTTTATTGAGACACAATCTCATGTTAGCTGGCCGTTGTCTCATCAGGAAATTCTTCCCCCCTTTGAAAGGTTTTATTTTTCATCCTTCCGGGTTGGCAATGCCCCGCTTCATTCGCAATGTGGGGGGGGGGTCGGTTGTTTTCCCCGACAATCGACAGTAGATTTTATACAATTTTTAAAAAAGTGAAAGTTAAAAAGTTTGTTTATTTTATTCTTCTCCCCTTTACTCGACACTCTGGGACCGAGAGAAGGATGGGTTCTATGAGACCTGGACGATTCTTTCTTCCCCTGTTAGCAGAAAAACATTAATCAAGTGCTTAAAATGGGGAAAAATTACACAACACACGTCCGCTTAGAGAATACAATAAGTCAAATCACAAGCTATGCTTATAAAAAAAAAAAAAAATTAAAATAGTGTTAAATGCATTTCTAGTTAAGAGAATAATCTGAGACTGTGGTCTCAGAAAACCTATTATTTTCAATATGGCCAATGTGCGACCTGCTACGACATATATAGCTTCGAACTGGCTATTTTTATTTCTTTTATTCTTCTTCTCTTCACTCGAACAGGGAAGGGTGGAAGGTTGACATCTTAATTTGCTTTGGTCAAAATTAGCAAAAGAAAAAAATCGAGTATTTAAAGTATTTTATCTATCTGCCGCAGTCTTTTCATTATCTATCTACCGCAGTTTTTCATTTTCTATCTATCCACCGCAGTCTTTTTTTATCTATCTACTCCAGTCTTTTCTCTATCTATCTATCTATCTATCTATCTATCTATCTATCTATCTATCTATCTATCTATACCAGTCTTTTCATTATCTATCTATCCCAGTCTTTTCTTTATCTATTTATCTATCCCAGTCTTTTCATTATCTATCTATCCCAGTCTTTTCTTTATCTATCTATCTATCTATCTATCTATCTATCTATCTATCTATCTATCTATCTATCTATCTGTCGTATTCTTTTCATTATCTATCTATCTTAAATCTAAACTTAATATAACTGATTACCATATCCATACTTATTAATGCAAATCGCTTACTATTTTTCTTTCATCTCCGTTTAGAAAATTAATTAATACAACTTCGAGTAGATGATATAAGTAAAATCACACTGTATTTCATATCACCCCACCCCCCGAGCAAGGCAGTAAAGCCAATAAAACAGAAGTGATTACTCAGGAAAACCCGTCCATCTGTTATCAGTGATATTCAAAATGCTCTGTAAGACGTCAATAAACTTGCTGGCAAGAACGATCCCAAGACATATCAGCTATTTAAAATTTCTGAGACGTATAAGAGACGATGCCTAATATGTTAAATTAGCCCGCCTACAACACTTGGAATATTATAGAAAGAGGTATTGAATAATGTATCTTTTGCATCATTCACTACTTATTATGTTAAAGGCAAAGCAGAACATAAACTCTGTTATTGTGAGATCTGAGTATGTCTAATGTAATACAGCTATATTTTTAAATGCTATATCATTTCACAATGTAAACAATCCTTAATCCCAACACCTTTCATCATCGTAATGTCCGGGAAGGACAGAGTAGCAATTTTTGTTTGTGTTCTTTAAATTCTTCTTTCTAATAGGCTGGTTGCCATCCAAGCCACGGGAAGCCCTTGTGCTCTGCTATTTAACCCATACCTAATGAGGTAAGAAGAGATCGATTAATGTCTTCCATTAGTGCTAAGTGAACGAAAGAGAAACGGCCATAATTTGAACTCGCCTGGCTGAACTCGCGTCAATATTCGTTACACTCCACCCACAACCATCTATATTACATGGACGTTTAATCTTGAATAAATTGAATTATTTATTCAGGTAGTTTCTTTTTTTTAATTTTCTACTGGATATTTTAGTTATATATATATATATATATATATATATATATATATATATATATATATATATATATATATATATGGTTCTGATTAAAACGGAACTGTTGGTTCTTCATACGTCGATATTGATGGGAGGGCGTTCACAGTAACATACACAGCCGCGTAGATAGATTGATAGATAGATAGATAGATAGATAATGAAAAGACTGACATAGATAGATAGATAATGAAAAGACTGACATAGATAGATAGATAGATAGATAAATAGATAATGAAAAGACTGACATAGATAGATAGATAATGAAAATACTGACATAGATAGATAGATAGATAGATAGATAATAAAAAGACTGACATAGATAGATAAACAGATAGATGATGAAAAAAACTAACATAGATAGATAGATAGATAATGAAAAGACTGACATAGATAGATAGATATATAGATAATGAAAAGACTGACATAGATTGATAGATAATGAAAAGACTGACATAGATAGATAGATAGATAGATAGATAATGAAAAGACTGACATAGATAGATAGATAGATAGATAATTAAAATACTGACATAGATAGATAGATAATGAAAAGACTGACATAGACAGATAGATAAGGAAAAGACTGGCAAAGATAGATAGATAATGAAAAGAATGGTATATATATATATATAGATAGATAGATAGATAGATAGATAGATAGATAGATATGAATAAACTAGGGCAGAAAGAAAGAAAGAAAGCAACAGACTTATATAGAAAGTTAATTATATTATTATATCCATATCGCGAACGTTTTATACCTTATGTTTAACACGTTAATTCTTTTTGGTCCAATTAATTTTGTACTTCCAGGTTTGTTCCGATTTTTGTTTTTATCTCTGTGATGCTAGGAAATTTAAAATGTATTCTGAACTGTGAAGCTCGGTACGCTAACTCCCAAAATTTGGTTAGCTCATTTATACACTAAGTTGGATGCAATGTTAGAATTCTTAATTGCCTCCTTGCATATCTTTTGGTGGCTCAGTACACGTAAACGTGGCATTTTTTAGCATAAAATAAACTCACATTGAAATAGAATTCTCTCCGCTTTATTTAATATTTTCGTTTATATAAAGCTCAAAGATGTATGCTTTTGTGCCAGGTTGAATTCCTGATCATTAATTATATAAGGAAGGCTAAAAATAGAAATAGTAAGTTACCGCCTTAGAAAAATCGGCCATCTCGAATATTTGGCGGTTTTTTGTTTGTCAAAGAAGGCAGTCATATGAATAGAAATGGAGATGAAAGAAAAATAGCCATCAATTTGCATTAATTAGTAAGTATATTGTAATCAATTTTATTAAGTTTTGATTTAAACAGAACCGAAGTAATTTTTTCAATTTAATGCACTTAATTTTATTATCCATACTGCATATTAATTACGACTCCATTACTGAGAATTTTACATACATCTAGAAATTCTGTTTGAATTTTTGGGATGAGGAATTATCATTATATACATGATTAAAATTCGAACAGTTATCATCATCTTGACCAATCATTGTGTACTTTGATTGATGGAAACAGGGCAAGTAATTAGTGAGTTGTACTAAAAATAAGGGCTAGTGTGTTCCCCTCAATTCAATGTCTCCACTGACTATCAAACTTCGGCCTAGAAAAACAAATGCTTAATTATTACTATATTAATACCGCTCTCTATTTAGATTAAGATCCTTTTAAATTAAATTAATTTGAATCGACCTGATTTATGCTGCCTAAAAAACGTAAAGTACTTAGATATTTTTGAGTAATTTTGGTAAAAATAACTGTTAAAATGAGATAGCTGTGTAACTTTCATTTTTGCGTGATGCGAACGACAATTTCACCATCGCAGCCAGTGTGTAGGTTTGTACAAATAGTGGATAATTTATATTGCTATACATATAATAATTCACATTATTTTCAGATTTATTTTTTAAATTTTATTTTGAGTTGTGGACAGCCATGAAAATTAACATTTCGAAAATATAAGTTTTTGATTTAAAAAAAAAATAGTTTTGTATTTTGAGTAACATTAATTTTGAGTTTTTTGTTTTGTTTTCAAAATTTGATTTGATATTTTTAATCATGCATTTAGCAACTTTATTCTTTTTTTTATTATTCCTAAATCTTCTGCAGTTGAACATCTAAATCAGATTCATATAAACTCAAAAGACCATAAAAGAAGTTTAGTTTGTCTCAGGACTAATTTTTTTTTCCCTCTCCATTTTCGAACAATAAAAGTCCGCGTACGATATGAAAGAGAGTGAAATAATCTCATAGACACGAAGTCGGCGCCACTCCGGACTCTAAAACATGATCAGTATTGTTTGAGTTTAGAGACGAGAAGCTGTAGAATGAGTCTCTTACAGCTCTTTACAGAGACAAAGCAGATCAGAAGTTTACTAATGATAGATCACGTTAAGACAGCTGGAGACTCGAACAATGTTAAGAGACGCGGACAAGGAAAGTTTTCAGCTTTTTTTTTTTTTTTTTTTGTTAGCTATTTAGCGAAAGGAAGGTGCTGTGGAAGCAACATAGAGAAAACAGACCCGGCATTATCAGATAAGATGAGAAGACCGGATAAGGGTGAAGTGGCTGGTCATCAGAATTGTGTGCCATCGATTAGACTAAATGCTGCATATTCATCGATTTTGGGCTAAATGCCAAACAAAAGGCTATTTTCGATGGAGTTTTTATCTTGATGTCGCTCTTATACTTTGTTTATTTTCTAGATATTTTTCTTTAGGTTTTGGAAGCTACTCAATTTTCCGTTCAGCTTTTAACATCTTTTTCAGCTGCAATGGCTGGCGAAATAAAAAAAAAAAAAGGTTTTTGGTTAATATTTCTTGGTTTGTAAAATCAAAATCAAAGATCGATGTGACAAAAATAAATTTGCGTAAACAAAACCAATTCTTATTCTTATACATAAGAATCTGAGAATTGTAAGATACATGACTACAAGAAGTAGCAGGAAGATTATGCTGCGCCAAATCTGCAAGTAGCAATTTTAATTGCCTAGAAAATGAATATTCGAAAATACGCCTTTTAGTTCTGCTTGAATACAGAATTAAACCATCAGTGATTTCAATTGTTATTTTCAAAATGACACAAATCACAAAAGCTGCTTGTGATTGGTTATTGTTATCAAATGTCAATTGATTAATGCGCATCTTAATTGACGCGCTGTTGGGGTAATTGATAGATGATCGGAATGGCAAACCGGAGAAACAGAGTTCGAAATTCAGTCGCGTTAGTTACGCGAAAATAAGGTTGAGAAACTTATGCATCTTGATAAACGTTGACGGTGATGACATGCTTCAAAGACGGTACTAGATAAGGCTGATTAAAATTCATTGTCATTGGGTCCAGCATGAAACAGCCTAAGTATTGACTTCAATGTTCACTTTTATATTTACACACGCTCTATCTTTGATATTGAGCACTTTATCCCATAAATATACCACACTTTAAGAGTATATATATATATATATATATATATATATATATATATATATATATAGGTGCAATTTAATTTATAATTACATGAATAATTCATACAAAAAACAAATATAGAGGTTAATGATTTAAATGGCGAGAATACATCTTTGCAAACAATTTCTATAAGATACACTAACCCCGAACCTGTATATGAATGATATGATCCCTGTTTATAAATTCCAGTTGCATAAGGTCTTTTTAGTTTTTACAAGCTTTCCTCTGTTCCTACAGACATCCTCAAGTATGGAAATAGATTTGTTCTATAGATTTGTTCGAGAAGTAAAAAACAAGAACAAATCTATTTCCATATATAAGCAAGAATTTGAAAAAGATGAAAAACACACAGACATTTGGTTTGTTTTGGTTTGTTTTGTTTTACGGCATATCAACCTCAATGGTTTATTTAATGCCGACAAAATCGTTGGTAATATTTTTTCCCATAATCTGTTTCTGGTAATTCTTTTTCCTTCAAAAATCTATTTCTGGTAATAATTTTCCTTCGCTGGTAATATTTGCTTTTTCAAAAATATATTGCTGGTAATATTTTTTTACAAAGTATTTCTGGTATTAAATCCTGTTTTTAAACTTTTATAGTGTTTTGACCCCAGTTTGGGGGTCAGATATTTGCTCATAGCAGGGAGCCTAACAGGTGCTATCAACCCAGATCAGAGTGGACATGGGGGCACTAGCAATTAAGAGGTGCTTCCACGCTCCTCAAAACCTGATAAGAGGCCTTGCTGTTGGACGTAGTTTATTATCTTACCCAGGACGCGGATGTAGTTTATCGTCATACCCCGGACGCGGATGTAGTTTATCGTCATACCCAGGACGGCACAGATATTTGTTGGACATAAATATATATTTTTTTTAAAAAGTAAATAGTTTAATATCTTTCATTGTAACGTTTAAATATTTCCGTCTTATTAAACGTATTTATATGAAGATGAAGTTTTTAATATGATTCCATTTTATAAATATCCATTGATAGCTAATTGTTTCTAGCTTTCTCTGTGAGGCTGCAGGCCCGGCTTTTAATCATATCCTGTATATTAATTATGCATCATCAGGAGAAGAACTATTTCCGATATACCGACAATGGGTGGGGCCCACTATTGCATCTTCGTTCAAGAGGAAAGCGGCCTTTATATCATTGCATGTTATTTCTGATTCCCTCTCTTCGATGTATGCAAATGTTTCCAGCATTATTAGTTAATCATCCAGTTTCTAGTTTAAAAAGAAAGATCTAAAAATTTAGTTTGCTTTAAATAAATAAAAATTGTTAAAATCCGTTTCGCCAGCAACACAATTAGTGCCTCTAACAAAGACCTTTTAGGGTTACAAAAGCGATTATCTCCTTTCGTTGAGATAAAATCACTTGGGTTGCGTGACGTCCAGTGATTTACATTAGGGGATAGTTGAGATGTAACGCACAGAGAAGAAGGCTGTCCCAAACCCACAGCATTAGGTCAAACAGAAAAAAAAAACATGGCGTCACAAGTTTCGTAGAGAATCTGCAGTAACTGTTGTTGCATACATGTTATAATTTCCCTGTGTGGGGGAAATGCATATATAATTTAGTGTACGAATTAGCATCATAAAACTCTCTCGCAGAAGAAAGCATGTTTGTAATTTATTTTTCTATCAGTTCCTTCAGTCCTTGAAATACGGTGTTGGTGTATCATGGATATAACAATGTCCGTAACGATGGAAACGCAAATGGGAGAATAAGCCTTTCTTCCATACTGTAACTATTATCACGACGTGACATGATAGTGTTTATCTCCATTATCCGGAGAACATGGAACGATATGAACATGCAAGCAAATGTGAAATGTTAATCTCTTGCACAGCACAATGCCCATAACATGTTAAAATGCACGTAACGTTTTCCACGTGAAACGAGTTGCTAGGATACATGTCAGTAAATGGCAAAGCGAGAAAACGTGGGAATTATTCGTTATTCCTTCTGGCATAAAACCCAGTTAACTGAATTAGATGATTACTCTCTTTTGGGGGTCACGGCATCTTTGACACAATCGATGGGCGTACATGCGGCAATTTATGATATCACTAAGCTTTATTTCTTCGCCATCACATTATAGGAGTTCCAGGTGTAAACTGATGCATCATCTGCATCTTTCTCGAAGCTTAGATCTTTTGATATCAACTAGAGATTTCTTAGACAGGTCAAGAGTCAAGTAGGAGTGAAAGCCCCCAAAATCTGACTGCAACAAGATATTAGCCCTAAAGCCAATATTTCTATTTCTCCTTCCACGACCGAGAAATGAATCATTCAATATTACATTTAGCATACAAAAAGAAAAGAAGCAACGAATAGACAAAGTCGTGATTAAAACTAAAAGAATAATTGGTATATTTAACAGAAAATGAAACAAATAACAAAAAAAAAATAAATAAATACAAACACAAACAAAGGATAATCATGAACCAAAACGTGACTGGACTTGGCCTTCCATGTTCCTCCGCTGATTTGTTAATCCGTGCGATATACCTGTACCCAGGAGATTAACTTGGCATACACAAACGCGCACACACACACCCACATTGTCTTCAATTTATATATATATATATATATATATATATATATATATATATATATATATATAATTATTTATTTAAAATATGATTCCAAATCGCGACATAAAGAAGTCTCATGTTTCAAAACAAGAGCCGAAAACTTCAATATAATTATTTAATTATTCAATATAATTATTTAATTATTTAAGTTTTCGGCTCTTGTTTTGAAACATGAGACTTCTTATGTCGCGA